GGGTAGCCCTTGCACTTTCCACTGCACCTAAACGTGTCCTTATCCAACTCAAATGGTGTGCTAGAATCTCCTTTCTTATGGCTGTGTTTCTGCACATTCTCTCTTCCCTGTATGTCTTCCCAGGTCAGTACTCTCCAGATTTTTCTCCTCGACAAAAACAAGTGGAGGTGGGGCTGATTCACCAGCTCCCTTGGATCCACAGTCCTTACCAAGATTTTGTTTATTTTCTAATCCACTAGTAGGCAAGATTCCTCCAGGTCCAGAATGAGGAAGACATTTAACTGGTTGCCTTGGTATTTAGAATTAAGGCATTTTGTTGCTAAGCAGTTAATTCTAGAATGAGGAGGAACTATAACTTGCTATCACAGTATTTAGAATTGGGAGAGTCTTCTTAATAAGCAGTTAAATCTAGAACATAATCAAGTGAGAGATAAAAGGGAAGTGATGTTATCTTTGTCATGTAAAGTTCTTGTTCCTGGAAATCAGTGATATAAACTATCTGTGATAAGTCCATAGCTAGAAAAGACCACTGGAACCATTCATTTTACTGCTGGTAAGTAACTCAAGAATTTGGCTATAAAAGAGAAAAACTAGCATTTTGTTTCTCCTTCACACGCACACTGGAATATACACACACAGACATACACATCAGCACAAACATGACATGATCCTTTGCCAGTTTTTCAGATCTTAAGGAGGATCTATTTCTTAGGGCTTATTCTGCTCTATTTAAATTGCTTGAGAGCCACAAAATTGGGTATTTAATGGGTTAATCCTCATGGCTTGGAAACTACTGGGCTTGGCTACACAGGAGAGTGAGACAGGAGGTGGTCATTCGGGTACAGACATTCTTGAATTTAATGATGCTGTGGGGAAAAGATAAAGAATTCACAAACGATGATGCATGACAATCTACTGTGAACTTTCTATACTATTACGGCACTAACCATGTTATTCATGAAAATGTTATATTCTCTCAGGAGGTGTGTCTCTTTAATCCTTCTATAAAACAATACTATGAAGGCAAAAGTAGTCTGCCTCATGTATTTTTTGGAGTTTGTTCTCCTATTCCCTGCTTGTAAACTGAGGTATTAGGAATAAATTTTAGCTGACTTATGTTGGTTACATTCACCCTAAGAGCACTATATTATCCATAAATAACTCTTTTTGCATCACAAGAACAATTCATACTCCATAATAATTACCAAAGACAGATCAAGAGAGTCATAGAGAGCCAACCAGAAGTTTATAATTCTACTCACTAGAGGTGGTGTCCTCAAAGATTTCCTTTCAGGACCTGACTGACTTCTTCTGGGATCTTTGCATTTTCCTCCTTTTTACTTCTAGAGAAGGACCCACCCACCCTAGGATCTCAGGTCACTTCAATGATGAGGGTAGTGTTCAGCCTGAAAGAAGTCCCCTGCCAACTTTCTGCAAAAATAAAGCAAAAACATAGAAAATGGCAGATCCTTCTTATATGTGCCAAATATGAAAACACCTTGGTTTTTTTATTTAAACTACCACCATTGAAAATCAGTAATGAAAACTTCTGGAAACAAAGACACCCAGCTGAGTGTCCTATATATTCCTGAGAAAATGTAGAAAATCAGAAACAATGTGAGCAACAAAGTATGAATTCTTAAAAGGGTAAAGTGGTTGAGAGAAATATCAGGTCATGATTTCCTCCTTCTGGCTGAAGCATCAGGCTATCTCATCCAATTTGACAGTTTCCACATCTTATGCATTCATTTCCCTAAAGATGCTCTGTGAGTTTCCGCCCCCAGCAATTTTGGCAGTCAGTTGTAAGAGTGGCAAAAGCAGGAAAAGCACTAATTTACTTTGGATTGAGTATTTCAGTCAACAGTGTTTGAACCGATGGAGTCTAGAGTTAGGCTATAGTGGTAAAGAGTAAAAGAAAGGGAACATAAGAAGTGTGAATAAATGAAAAGAAGAATTCTTTCTGTCCTCCATAAATGTGAGGAGTATCCCTGGCTGGTGTGGCTCATTGGACTGAGTGCCAGCCTGCGAACCAAAGGGTTGCCAGTTCCATTCCCAATCAGGGCACATGTCTAGATTGTGGGCCAGGTGCTCAGTAGGGGATGCACGAGAGGCAACCACACATTCATGTTTCTCTCCGTCTCTTTCTCCCTCCATTCTCTTCTTTAAAAAATAAAAAAATAAATAAACTTCTTTAAAAAATTGATGAGTAATTTTGATTAAGAATCAACATTGTGAGTAACTATTTAATATATAAGAGGACAAAAGAGAGCAAGAATAAGATCTAGATCTTGTCATAGGTCAGTTAGCAAGTTGGTTGCAAATGAGTAGTAAATCTGAAATCACCTGGGTGTTGAATGGGGTGTCCACATTCCCACTAAACCCAGAATGTAGGTAGAGGTATTGGTGGATAATGTGTCAGCAAATCAGATGGCCCAGTTCTTTGAGGTTTGTGCAGGACTGATTTAGGACTTGGTGTAACCGAAAGAAAGGTCAGTAGTGGTTTAATGAGATGACCACCACTTGAGTGGTTTGGAAGTGGCTTTGGTAATCAAAGCAAACTGAGACCAGATAGCTGGTCTGTGAGACACCTGAAGATCCTGAGGATGGAAGTGTTTCTCTCTGCTCTGCTCCCCCATGCTGTTGGGCCCAATGTTTGACAGGTAGGTTTAGCACAATCAAGTGGGATAAGGAACTTTTCATAAATGAGAGTAGAGAGAAGATTGCTCCTGCTTTCCTAAAAGGAAGATTCCATAAACAACAGGAAAATGATTACCGAGAAAAGAGGTTAAGGAACACACAATGAAGATAATAATAACAATAATAGAGAACTAAGCAGAAATGAGTACAGGCTCTAGGAGATGACAGGTCCTTAATCAGCCACCTGTCATTTTCATAGTGCACACTAGGAGAAGTGGATTTGATTAGCCCATTTCAGATCTCTCATAGAAGACTTCACCTTTCTGTGTTTTTTTTTTCAGTTCTGCCAACGGTTCTAACTTCAAATCATGTTATTTTAATGATAGAAGACTGTGAGTATTTTGCTAGATAAATAAAAATGAGTGTTTTTGTTGTGAAATATTGAATGTAGTTTTACAAGTTCCTAATCTGTGTTGTTGCCCCAACCACTCTGTCCAAATTTGAACTTCATACCATTTAATTTCCTTCATCTGCATGTTGATTTATGCATCTCAGGTGGATATCCCTGGGTCTGCACATTGAGTCTTTCTATTAACACTTTTACTCAAAGAAGAAAACAGCAAGTTGATTTGCCAGCCAGGCACTGTGCTACTGTCAGATTTCATCATAACAAATATGAGAGGACACTCTCCCAAAATGGAATTATCTTGTGGACAGTGGGCCCCTTGGAGTACAGGCTCCCCTGCTATGTGGGTGTTCTAGGAACCCATCTGTATCAGTGTGCCAGCTGGCAGTGTTGTGAGAGGCTGCATTTGACTTCAGTAATTTTCTCTTTGAAGAGTCTTTCAACATGTTTGCCCATTTCATGAAAGGTGATTTATGAGCACACCTGCTCACACCATGCTAGGTGCTCAGCAGTTTTTGACCAAAAGAGCATGACCCCTATGTCCCACCCTCCCTATTCACATGATCTTGCCCCAAGCGACTTTTTTTGTTTCCTCGGATGAACAAAGTTCTCAGAGGGAAATATTTTGCCAATGTGGAAGTGATAAAACCAAAAACAGCAGAAGCACTAAGGCATCCAAACCCAGAAGTTTAAAAACTGTTTTGAACAGTGGGAAAAAAAGCATCTCAATAAGGGTACTGCGTCCAGTGGAGAGTACTCTGGAGGTGACTGAACTTTAAGCACATAAGAATGAAGAAACAATTTTTTATAAACACATTTTTGGGTCCACCCTCACATGTGATGATGCATTTGTACTATTGAGATAGCTTTTTGTTTTTATTTTTTCATAGAAGATATGTACATGTATTTGTATTTATAAAATAAAAACACTTTAAGGTTGACCTTGGGAACTGGTTACCTTGCAGTCTTGGACATGTAGAGACGTTGAGGCCTTCACCACGGAAAGACAACATATTGCCTTCCTGTGTGCTTCCCTCCCTCCTTTAGGGTTTCTTGATTTCTGAAGCTGCTTTAATTTGCCTTCAAGACACTCCCGCTTCCAAGGGATACTCTGCCAACTAGTCTGATTCCTCTCATTTCATAAGGCTAGGGTTTTTAAGATCTTGTTCTCCTGAAGAGTATAATCAAATATAAACTTTTTAGATAATCTGTCACCAACCCAATATGCTCCCCCTCCAGTGCCACCCTCCTCCACTGAATACAGAACTTGGTGTGATTACAGTAGATACAAATATTTGGAGAAATTGGATGCTTTGACCCTCCCGGTTTCACAGGTTTAAATGATTAGAGAAATGCAAAAAGTAAAGAATGTAACTAATAACCTGTTGCTTTGGATGTATCTATTACAAACAAAGAGAAACAAGAATGTGTGTAAATAGCTTTTATCTCTCCAAGGAATGTGACTACATAATTCTTCTTTTGGTAGTGAAAGGAAGACCTACCATATCGATATTCATACCAAGCCTATATGTATAAATTAAGACTCCTCATCAAAACATGACATATGTTCACTTTGATATATTTACTGTGGAATGTTTCATATATATTCATATAATGAGAGAATGGGATAATGAATCCATATGTGCCCTTCATCTAGGTTCATTAAGTATCAACTGATGGCAGTATTCTGTGTCTTGTCTTGAGCCAAATGCTAACTCACTTTAACCCACACCTTCTCTTCCTCCTCTAACTAGACCTGCTTATAATGCCCACCTCTGTCTCTGCTCTTCTTTTCATGTTTTTTATAGTGCTGTTTCTCTGATGGTGTGACTCTGCCGGAGGTCAAAATAAAGGTCGGCACTGCATGCAGCCAGCTCAGATGAAGCAGACACGACACTGATGCTTCTTGCCCTGCCCTCCTATGCTCTCCCCAGTGGCTGCATGCAGTGGCTGCGTAATGGCAGGGGATGAGGCCTTGGTGCATGTGAAGATCACTCTTTTGCTGCTCTGGCAGGGTATGTTTCTGTTTCTTTCTGGATGGCCCCAGACTGGAAACTCCCAACGCCATGGTCCTGCAGAGGTGGTGATTCCCACAAGGCATGCCAGCAGCAGGAAGCTTCCAGGCTGGCTCACTTACAGCCTTCATTTTGGGGGCCAGAGACACATTGTCCACATGAAGGTCAACAAGTATTTCCTGTCCAGACACCTCCCAGTGTTTACCTACAGCGACCAAGGTGCCCTCCTAGAGGACCAACCTTTTGTCCAGAATGACTGCTACTATCAAGGCTATGTGGAAGGGGACCCAGAATCCATGGTGACCCTCTGTACCTGTTTGGGGGGTTTCCAAGGAACATTACAGACAAATGACGTTGTGTATGAAATAGAGCCCAAGAGGCATTCTACCACATTTGAACATCTCATATACAAGGTGGACAGGAAGGAGACACAATTCCCACCCATGAGGTGTGGCTTGACAGATGAAGAAACAGCACGACAATTGAAGTTTCAAGAGACTGTTAATTTCACCTTGATGCAGAGTGGGTATGAAGGCTGGTGGACCCACAAGCGGTTTCTTGAGCTGGCAGTGGTGGTGGACTACAATCGATACATGCATCGTGCAAGTAACACCACAAAAGTGCAGTATGAAGTATTCCTTGTTGTCAATGGAATTGATAACTTCTTGAGCTCACTGGATGTTGATGTGGTTTTAATAGGAGTTGAGGTCTGGAATACAAGAAACCTCCTTCCAGTAAATAACATAAGTAATTTCCTGTCAATGTTTTGCACATGGAAGATGGCCAGCTTTAATAACCGCCTACCCCATGATGTTGCACATGTTTTTGTAAAGCAGGACTATGGTATTACTGTGGGCTTAGCCTATGTTGGAGGAGTATGTAACTCTCGTTTTAGCTGTGGAGTTGATAGTTTTATGAATGATGATGTGCATGATTTTGCATATATAGTATCACATGAAATTGGTCATAATTTGGGTATGGGACATGATGCAAACACTTGTAAATGTGCCCATAGGATCTGTGTAATGTATCCATCAAAAGCCGGTGCAAGTAAGTTCAGCAACTGCAGTTATGCTGACTTCATGAACACTGCTGTAAAACGAAATTGTTTGTATGTTTCATCAAATAAAGGGAACATCTTCACAGTTACACAGTGTGGAAACAGTGTGGTTGAAGAAGGAGAAGAGTGTGACTGTGGCACTTTACAGTTGTGTTTAAAGGATCCCTGTTGTCAATTCAGTTGCACCCTGAGATTGGGGGCTGCCTGTGCTTTTGGGCTTTGTTGCCAAGACTGCCAGATCCTGCCAACAGGCACAGTGTGTAGACAACAGGAAAACACATGTGATCTCCCAGAGTGGTGCAATGGGACATCCAACCATTGTCCAGAAGATGTGTATGTGCAGGATGGGATCCCATGCGAGGACGGTGGCTACTGCTATGAGAAGAGATGCAATAACCGTGAAGAACAGTGTAGGAACATTTTTGGCAAAGAGGCCAAGAGTGCCAATCAGAGTTGCTACACCAAAATGAATACCCGTGGTGAACGATTTGGGAACTGTGGTATCCGTGGTACTGAATACGTGCGGTGTAACATGTCAGATGTCCTGTGTGGGAGGGTGCAGTGTGAGAATGTGAGAGAAATTCCCCTTCTGAGAGATCATTCTACTGTGCATTGGACTCGCTTCAATGACATCACCTGCTGGGGTACCGACTACCACTTGGGGATGGCCATTCCTGACATTGGTGATGTGAAAGATGGTACAGAGTGTGGTGCAGACCATGTATGCATCAAAAGGAAGTGTGTCCATCTGTCCCTCCTGGTAACTGGGTGTTCACCTGAGACCTGCAATATGAATGGGGTCTGCAACAACAGAAACAACTGCCACTGCAGCCGTGAGTGGGACCCTCCCACCTGCCAGCAAAAGGGCTATGGGGGAAGTATCAACAGTGGTCCACCCCCTGAAACAGAAGAGGTTGGAAACCTAGAATGGATGCCTTACCTGCTACTATTTTGGTTTATTCTTTTTTTGATATTACTATCATTATTGTGTTTGTTATTTTGGTCCTTTAATGCAGAAGAACTTCAAGGAAACAAGCAGCAGAATGTTCCAACTTCAGCTGAGGAAAAAGGAAAAAATGACAATTAAAAAAAAAATCCCAATTGATCTCCCCCATGTATTCATTGTCAGTCTCCTGGCTGTAGAACTGCTATGGCATGCACTGCAGACCATCCACAGACTATCTCTGAGGCACCTTATCATTCAGGATAGTGAATAGCAGCCATTAAACAATTAGCCAAACTTTCTCATTCTGGGCCTATTTCAACTTTCCACTCTCTTACAAGTGGTTAATGTGTCATCAAATGTGTATCTTTCTGCATCTTGAGCAGAGGCATAGCTCATGGATGGTGTGTATGTGCTTTTAATCTGCTACACTTTCTGCCAGTAGCGGGAAAGAGAGGAAGAGGGGAATGTTGGGGAATTTTGCATTGCTATTCCTATCACTGTTTTCTCACTGAGAGCTTACACCTTGGCATCAACAGTGAGTTTACTTCTGCATATTTCCTCTTTTTAATATATTTTATTCATTATGCTATTACAGTTGTCCCATTTTCCCCCTTCATTCCCCTCCACCCTGCACACCCTCTCCCACCCACATTCCTCCCCCCTTTGGTTCATGTCCATGTATCATACTTATAAGTTCTTTAGCTTCTACATTTCCCATACTATCCTTACCCTCCCCCTATCTATTTTCAACCTACATTCTATACTACTTATTCTCTGTACCTTTTCCCCCTCTCTCCTCCTCCCACGTCCCTATTGCTAACCCTCCATGTGATCTCCATTTCTGTGGTTCTGTTCCTGTTCTAGTTGTTTGCTTAGTTTCTTTTGGTTTTGCTTTAGGTGTGGTTGTTAGTACTTGTGAGTTTGCTGTCCTTTTACTATACATGTTTTTTCTTTATCTTCTTTTCTTAGATAAGTCCCTTTAACATTTCATAAAATAAGGGCTTGGTGATGATGAACTCCTTTAACTTGACCTTATCTGAGAAGCACTTTATCTGCCCTTCCATTCTAAAAGAGAGCTTTGCTGGATAGAGCAATCTGGGATGTAGGTCCTTGTCTTTCATGACTTGGAATATTTCTTTCCAACCCCTTCTTGCCTGTAAGGTTCCTTTTGAGAAATCAGCTGACAGTCTGATGGGAACTCCTTTGTAGGTTACTGTTCCCTTATCTCTTGCTGCTTCTAGGATTCTCTCCTTCATTTTTACCTTGGCTAATGTAATTGTGATGTGCCTTGGTGTGTTTCTTCTTGGGTCCAACTTCTTTGGGGCTCTCTGAGCTTCCAGGATTTCTTGGAAGTCTATTTCCTTTGCCAGAATGGGGAAGTTCTCCTTTATTATTTGTTCAAATACGTTTTCAATCTGTTGCTCTACTTCTTCCCCTTCTGGCACCCCTATAATTCGGATGTTGGAACATTTAAAGATGTCCTGGAGGTTCCTAAGCTTCTCCTCATTTTTTTGAATTCTTATTTCTTCATTATTTCCTGTTTGGTTTCTTTTTTCTTCCTTCTGATCCACTCTGTTGTTTTGAGTTCCAGTTTCCTTCTCATCACTGTTGGTTATCCGTGCATCTTCCTTCATCTCTTTTATGGTAACCTGCATTTTTTCATCTAATTTGTGCCCAAAATCAACCAATTCTGTGAGCTTCCTGATCACCAGTGTTTTGAACTGTGCATCTGATAGGTTAGCTATTTCTTGGTCGCTCAAAAGGATGATTCTGGGGCACTGATTTGTTCTTCTATTTGAGCCATTGCATCTGATAGATTGGCTATTTCTTGGTTGCTCAAAAGGATGAGTCCTGGGGGACTGATCTGTTCTTGTTGGAAACATGTCTCTCCCTGTCTCTCTTTTTTTTTTCTTTTTTTTTCCCCGGTCTGGTCGCTCTTGTTAAGGTGAGGGGCGGAGCCTTAGGTGTTCACCGGGTTGGGCACCCCAGTCACTAGGTTGTGACATTGTATGTGGGGGCAGGGGCAGGAGGGAACAATGGCGGAAGCCCCACTCTCCTGGTATCTTGGTCCCTTCCCTGGGATCCTGGGCTGCATGCTCTGCCCTGGTCCACAATCACAGCCTCACTGGGTTTGCCAGTTGCCACTTGCGTACTCAGGGTCCACCCGCTGCGCGCCCCAGATGGCTTACTTGCTCCCGATTGGCTTAGGTGCCCAGCTCTCCCCCGAACTCTGAGCGCTGCGACTCGCGTGCTCGTCTCCACCCCTCTTACCGGTCTGGATGAACGGATCTACTTCAACTTCTTGGCTGACTTCCATTCAGATAAATTCTCTATCAGTTCTGGGTGTTATTCTGCCTCTAAATTATTGTTGTTCTAATGCTGGTTGTGCGTGCAGGTATGGTGCGTCCACCTATGCCTCCATCTTGCCAGAAGTCCCATGATGCCCTGCATATTTTCTGTGTAGATATAATTTATTCATATATAATATTAGCTCATTTGTTGCTAACTCCTAGAAACAACAGACTGTCAGCCTCAGATATACTGGCTCAGCTACCAAACATCTAAACTCAGGGTTTAGAGTGACAAGCCTTTGAGTCCTCCACCAAGTCCCTCAGATGCCAGCACCAGGTCCACTAACCTCCTCAGGGGTCAGAGTCCTGTGTCCCTGGGACTCATTCCAAAGGCATGGTTCCAATAGTCCCATTTGTCCCCTTTGATGTCCAGTCCTAGGAGCAGTAGCTACATCTACTTGTTAATAACTCATGGTTGTCCCAGTGGTGGGGGTTCCTTTTATGGCAGATCTCAATGGCTAAGCTATTAGTACAATCAAGAACACAGGAAAGAGTCTGACAGCAGAAACTTTGAACTTTACACACCACTGCCCTTTACCATCTTGTGGGCATGAATTACTCTAAGAATCCTTGAAATCGGAAAAAAAGAACAGGAGACACTTGGCTGGTGTGGCTCAGTGCATTGAGCAATGGCCTGTGGACCAAAAGGTCGCTGGTCAATTGCCAATCAGGGCACAAGCCTGTGTTAGGGGCCAGTCCCCAGTAAGGGGCACATGAGAGGCAACCACACCTGGATGTTTCCCTCGTTCTCTTTCTCCCTCCTTTCCCTCTCTCTAAAAATAAATAAATAAAATATTTTTAAACAACAGGAAATAACACTTGCCACTCATTTTACCATTAAACAGGATGAAGAAGATTCTTTCAATTCTATGTTACATATGGAAGTATTAAGTATTAGTATACATAAGTATTTTTTTCCTCTGAAAGAACCCCCAGAATATCACAGTTTTAAGAACCATAGTTAAGAATATCACAGTGCTAACGAAGCAATGGGAAATAGAGGACCTGAAATTCCAGGCAGGGAAATCATACTGAAAAGCATTGGATCTAACCAGCCATGTTTCCCTCTGAGCTCAAGGTGTCACTGGATGTGAATGGAGCCTTTGCCTGAGCCCTGCGGGAGCACTTCTACTGAGGAAGGGGAGATCCCTGAAGGGCTTAGTTACTACAAAGGTTTAGGTCGACTCATAATTAGATATTGAGGCAACTCTAAGTTAAATTCTTTCTCCTCAAATCACATTTGCTTGATTCCACTGCTTTGTGCAGTGCTAGTGAGCTAGTCTGAAATTTCTCAAAAGCAGAGTTTCCTAAAATCATGGTGTGTATTGAACATAAGACATAAGAAAAGGAGGCACATCTCAAACATCTGTACTGTCTCCCCATCACACACGTATCTGATTGTGCTGCCTGTGGCAAATGGTTGGAGGGCTGGGTTGTGAACCTCTAGGTGATAGAGAGGGATCCCCATAATACTTTTTTAATCCTCTCCTGAGGAAATGCTTATTGATTTTTTAGAGAGAGAGAATTGTTGATGTGAGATAGAAACACCAATCAGTTGCCTCTCATAGGTGCCCCCATGGCACTGAACCCACAAACTACACATGTGCCTTGACTAGAACAGAATCCACAACATTTTTTATGGGGCCACGCTTCAACCAACAGAGCCACACTGGCCAGGGCAGCACATCGTTTTCAATAGAATTAGCACTCCAAGTCTGTGTTCCATTTATTACCAAATCTTTCAAAGCAACCATTCTGACACATAAAATGAGCTGGTGATGTGTCTAACCCTGACAGCAACGATTTTGACACAGCAGAAGTAAGGACAGCTAGCATTCTGTGCCCTTTAAAAAGCAGTCAAAATTGTTCGATATGAAAGGGAGAAAATAGAAATGGTCACAATGCAAATGTTTGTTCCAATTTAAATGTACTCTACTATAACCAAATACGCAAATCACTGATTGGAATTGACTAATGTTTTCTGTGTCTAGAAGGCTGAGTGATCTTCAGAAAACACAAAGAACTGATAGCAACAGCTTACTGTAGCACATCAATATCCGTGAGATAAAGGGGAAAATAAATAAATAATGTTTAACCAGTTTCCTTAGCAACTAACCAACTGACATAAAAAAGAAAAGGATTTTTCAGTCTGCTGTGAGCTATAGGCTGCTATATAATTTCCTTATTAAGGACTCCAGGGTTGGGGTAGGGGGAATGGTGGCAGGGAAATGAAGACAACTGTATTTGAACAATAATTTTAAAAAGTTAAAAAAATAAAATAAAAACTAAAAAATAAAGGACTCACTATAGAGGACTATCAGATGGAGGGGTTTTTCATAACCTCAATGTCCAAAAGTCATGAGATGTTATCAACATGTAAAAGTAATGTAAATGAAAATTTTTTGTACCCATTATTTAGAATAAGACTCTAAGGAACACATATGAGACCAGAGAATTTTTACTAGATTTTTTATTTTCTATGTTTGGAGGAAATTGTGCACATTATTACTGAGTTAAAATGTAAAATACAGAAAAATGTGTATAAGACAATCCCAATTTTGTAAAACAAACAATGACAAAAATCATAGACATATAGTTTATATACTGGTAGCCACATGAACCTAGATAAATGTTCAAAGCAAAACATGGTTAACTGGAATTTTCCTCTACTATCTTCTCAAAAACAGAATTTTTTGTAGATTACTGGATTTTCAATATTATATTCAAATTCCTGACTTACCTCTATGATCTTTACTGTGTGGAATTTCACAAATTTGACAAAGGTCATGA